TGTTTCTGAGGAATGAGTTAAAACATAAAGCATACAGTACACTCCATAAATGTTCATAAAGAGTGGTGAAAATTGATAAGCCATAGCTTATGGATCCAGTGATTTACCCACAGCATTTATAGGGAATGTTCAACAAACATATTCATTAGCTAACTGTTAGCTAATGAATATGTTTGTTGAACATTCCCTATAAATGTTAAACAGACCTATGAAAGCAACAAAAGAAAGAAAAAAATAGGCAAATGTGCATGCATGCAGCCAGGACAGCTTTTTTGCCATCTGTGAAGGTCTGACCACACAGTCTCACCTTCTGAACATTCAATCTAAGGAAGGATGAACAAACTATAGAATAAGTTAGAATTACATGCTAATGAAGAACAGTTACTTGTTTTGCAATGTGTATAATTTTTTCTTACCCATTGGCCAGTTTGGCCTTACTGCTCTCCATCTCATTTAAATCATGGTATATTAGAAAATAAATGTCAGTTGTATTACCTTTCTATAGTAAGAGCAATTTAACACACAATCACCCTTCACTGAGAAATGTTCACATCTCCTCTTAGTGTTCCTTTATTGAGCAGCTGCCAAATAATGGTTATCCTACAAAGTTTTTGATTTGTGTAACTTTAATTGCATCAATTTGCTGTGGTAGTCTATGGCCTAACAACAATGACACCAGTAACAATAATGACACTTAATTTATAGACCTTTTGAGCACTGGCATAATTTATATTACATAAAAAGTTGCCCAAACACATTATATTTTATTTATAAAACTCATAGACTAGTCTGTAATATTTATTTTGTTAAAGATGTCAGCAAGTAAACAATAAAGCATTTCGTATTGTTTTAGAGAGGGTCATGACATTCATGTGAGGTGACAAATGATTAAGAGGTTAGTGATGTAGGTGAAAATTAGACATAGGCTAGAGAATATCAGGCCTATATATTTGTAATAAGTCATCATCACAATATCATATGTTCTGCTTATTTCAGTAATACACTCTGTGTTTTTCACAGGACTTTAATCACTAAAGACAAAGTGTTCTCTAAATGTCCAATACAAGACTAGCTACACAACATTCAAGTTTATGCTACTGAGCATAATGTACAATGTTTGAGCAACTTTGCATTTCAAGGTACACATTCTAAAGTCTCATAAGTTCTTGCTTTCCCTGGGAATTGAACCCACAACTCTGGTGTTGCGCGCTCAACACTCTACTGTTTGAGCTACATGAATGCTCAATTCCATGTTTTGATTGATCAAATGATTACATGCTTATACAAATATGCAGTAGGCAATACAAAATTGTTTTGAAAGAAACAAAGAAATTATTTTTTATTTTATGAATCTTTTGAAAATGTTACATTAAGTTCATGAGATAATTAACTTCGTGATATAGATGATATGGACGCGTCACAGCTGGTTGTTCAAAAAAGAGATCTAAATATCATAAGAGTAAAATAAGCTGATAAGATAAAAATAATTGATCCATTATAAAATTAGGCTATATATGAAGAGTTCAGATGCAAAAGCCTCTAAGTGCCAATTGAAATGTTCATCTTGAATGATAATTTTTATCAAGCTTGTATATTTAAGTTCAGTAATTTCACTTAAATGGCAATGATAATTACCTATTAATTTTATTTTTTATTTTTTATTTAAGTGAAATTACTGAACTTAAATATACAAGTTTGATAAAAATCATCATTAAAGAAGAAAATTTCAAATGGCACTTAGAGGCTTTTGCATCTGAACTCTTCATATGCAGATCGAAAAATGCAACTTGTTGAAAAAATGTAAATGACTTTGCAATTTATGTTTCTTTTAGGTAGCCTACTTTAACTTAATCTAACGTTACATCTGTTGTTATTTGTGATTAGAACTCATGACAACACAAGTGCGCTGACAAGTCTGTTCATCCAATGAAAGCGAATGACCCTTGTTAACATGGGCGTGGTTTCTGAGCTTGACACTAAAGTATGTTAAACTTCTTTGAAAATGCGTCAAATACAAAGGAATATCATACACTGCAAAAACAAAGCGCTTTATTTGCATACCGTGTACTGGTAACTGGTGAAATATTCGTTTTTATCGGTGAAAAATAGGGCACGAATCTGTCGCTGTTAACATCTGCTGGAAATCCAGGTAAAACTATTTGCGTGCACGCGCGCGTCCCCAGTTAACATGATCCCCAGTTGATCCGTAACACCGGAATAAAATGGACCGAAAACCGCCTGTTGAACATTATTGTATTTTTAATCAGTTTGAAAATATAAAAGGTGAATATGGATTATTAAAATTTTACTAATGAAAATGTGTTTGAAATGTTTTGAATTTAAATATTCACAGCTTAAATATTCAACCATGTTAAACTTCAGCCCTAAAAATGCAAGCTCTAACAATATAATCCATTAAAATACAAACAGGGTTAATGCAATGCATATTTTTTTTAAGTATGTTTCAAAAACATTTGGCATTATTTTACTTCCATAAACTTAGGCCTAATTTGTTTGTGTTGGACTTGGCGTGCAATAATATACATACACTTACAAAAAACCATTGTAAAACATATAATATATATTACAGTAGTTAAGAATTTAGTTTAAACTCCCAACGAAAAAAATAATCGTTATGTAATATCCCGATGTGAACGGCAACGCAATCCATTAAAATACAAACAGGGTTAATGCAATGCATATTTTTTCAAGTATGTTTCAAAAATATTTGCCATTATTTTACTTCCATAATCTTAGGCCTAATTTGTTTGTGTTGGACTAGGCCAGAAATAATTTGTGTTTGAAATAATATTAGGTTGTAATTAGTTCCCAGCATGATTTTCAAGGCACTAGAATGAGTCAATTGTGAACTTAAAGCTGCAATCTGTAGTTTTTTTGGGTTAAAAATTATCCAAAATAAATTTGAGAAAATACATAACCAGCAGTGTTCAAAACTATCTGCTTGCCGTAGCTCTGTTTAAAACGTTAAGCTTGTAATACTGTTTTTAATTCCAGCAGTACTGGTGGATTTCCGCGGGAGATTTGAGCATGTCTTCGCGTCATTACGTCACATCTGTACACATAAAGAAGGAGTCTCAGCTAGTAGGCTATATATTGCTTGTGAGGATGTTGGAGGTGGACATTTATAGCCTTTTCTCACAGCACTTGATATAATTAAACTTCAATTTGATGGTAGATCCAGAAAGGTTCAAACGACAATCACCAATGACAACTAGAGATTCACCCGCTGTAAAATAAAATGTAAAAAAAAAAAAGACTTTGGACTGAGCGTTTGGAAAAAGAGACTGCAACCGGCCAATGCGAAAACAAGGATAGGCCTACATCTGAAGGACTTTAAATGTAGTCACGTAATGCTGATGTTGTTAACAATTTGAGAACAAAATATAATTTGCATGGTTTGACGTGATGTGATAAGCAATCGCTAGATTTAATCAGCGCGATTACTGCAATGCTTTTTTCCCCTTAGTTGGTAAACAAAATTGGATGTTACTTACTTGTTCAGATGACAATTTAGAAAATACTTCTGTTGGTCATACTTCCAAAAAGAATCAAACAGTGGTTCAGAACAGAAGGTCCATTCTGAAGAGATCCGCTGTGTGTGTGTGGAGAACGGCCAAAAGGAGATGGACCTTCAAAGTATCCTCAAACAGTGTGGGTGCTTCTCAATATCCCTCCTCGTCTCCTCGCTCCTCCTATTTCAACAGTATAGCCTATCTTTATTATTATTTATTATGAATTTATTAAATAACCAAACTTCAACAACATAGGGCAGATCCTTTTAGCGCTGCTGATGACACTGTGGAGTGACGCTCGAGTGATCAAGTATTCCAATGTATATAAAAAAGCTTTTATTCGATTCCTCTGTCCTCCTTTCCTTTCCTCGCTTCCTTCTCTCGCGTCCTACAGGGGGTGGAGCTGAGACGCAAGGAAAGGAAGCGAGGGAAGGAAACGAGGATGCACAAATAAGAAATGAGAAGCACCCTGTGTTCATCTGCTCTGTTCCGTGACGAGGTACAGCTGCACGTAATAATTCGCGAATAACTGTAATTACAGATTTTGAACAGAGATGGCGACAAAGAGGAAAATGCGGACTGCAGCTTGACTTTATATGATTTTGAGCAAGATTGTTATTCTATTCTCCAGTGTCATGACTCATGAAAGATTATGTTTCAGAAGTTTCTTTAAAGTTACCATTGAGACGAAGAATGGAGACAAGAATAGAGACTAGGCTACTAGTGTTTAGGCTGAATATGAATTAAATTGGTCGTAAATAACGCAAACGTTTTCTTAAATTAATTTTTGTTGAAGCTGTTCTTCACAAATTAATACACTTGGCTAACGTGCTGTTGCTAGCTTAGCAGTTAAAGGTGCTCTAAGCGATGTCGGGTGACATCATTTCTTTTTGGCTTTTAAGTCTGTCAAACAAAACAGAGGCTAGCTAGACCCTCCCTCCTCATCATCCACATGCCCCCCCAAACCCCAAATCCTTCTTGTCGGTTATTGGCTGGAACAGTTTTTTTTTTTTTAATCTTTCGTGGTGCGGGTTGGCCCAGTTTGTTTTTGTTGCCGTTTGTGGAGCTTGGGGTGTCTGCAAAGATCGCGTTTTTTGACAGCGTGTTCAGGGGACCGGCAGCTAGCGGATAGTGAGGAGATGTTTGCTGTATGTGACAAAAAAATGTTTGGCCTAAAAAACGTGTGACATTGCTTAGAGCACCTTTAACTGAATGAGATTTTAGTCACACCACACTTTTTGTTTCGTTGTTGTTAGTTTCCCAATGCACAATGGAGTTGTTTAATTCAATGTTATGAAACCCCATTTCCAACAGTGTCCACAATTTAAAAACCTATGTTTTTCTAACAGCCCTGTACTTAAACAGCAGGTGGCGCCAAACACAGTATTGAGCAGCACATGTCTTCAGACTGCCTGGAAAGTGGAAACTTCTTGAAGGGACTGAAGAAATTTCAAACTCCAAGAGAGTTTGGAGAGAGCAGAGCAGAGGACCATCCGCCTAAAACAGTACACCTCTGCGGACATCTGAGGTTCAGTAAAGACCTGAAGAGCTCTGCACTGTCCAGCTATAACACTGACCTGTGAGAAGAACTTGCGGTGGATGTAAGAGCGCTCAGAGGCAGAAGAAATGAGCAGAGGAACAGCGAAAGAGCCGCACGGATGCCAGCGCAACTTCACACTGATCATCGTGTTGCTCGTAGTCATCTGCGGTAGGCGATCAAACTCATGCATTTTACACTGTGTTCATAATCGACTTAACATTATTTTGGTTGAGTTCAACACATTCACAGGAAATAATACTGAGCCGTCTAAAATATTTATGTCTCTACTATTAAATCATGTCATGAAACAGTGTCTCAAATTACAGAACGATGCCCATGTTAAAGATAGAATATTGCAAATAATAATAATTTGGTTACAATAACATGTACTTGCATGCTACGTGTGCACTGTTATGCAAAAGTACATTTTTTGATGATATTTAAATGTTATTCATGTCATAAGTCAAACTTCATGTAAGCCAAATAGTTATAGGTGTCATTTCATTCAGTAGTCTTCAGGGTGTTTTTTGTTTACCTATTGACTTATGTTGCCAAAGGGCTATCTAAACAGTTTTTGTGCCATTGGAATGACAAAAGAGCTCTTCAAGTGCACTGATTGAGAGAATGACAGTGTTAAAGTCCCCGTGAACCGGAAGTTGCAAACGATTTTTCTCCAGTGCTGTGACGTATTTCCAAGTGAAACGGAATATTGAACAGAGGGCAGGGTTTGACTCTAGCGCTCCTCCTCTCCATCTCTCGCTCATAGCAAACTAACGGTTTGAGGGGAGTGGTTAAGCGTTTCCCCACCCAAACTGTGAAACCTACGTCATCAGAAAAAGAAACCGTTCCAGACCGGAAGTAACTTTTCAGATTTTGATTAAAGATTACTAAGGTAAAACATTTTTTTAATATATATTCACTTGCACGGATTAATTGTTCACCACAAGACTAGTAATATGCGCTAGCAAAGTAAATAGGTTCAATTTTGATTTCACGGGGACTTTAAACTCTCAGCTGGAGTCTCTTTGTATGGGCTGAGCTGCTTCATTTGCCTTTGAATAGTGCTTAGACATTAGATAGCATCCAATTATACTGAGCAAAGGACTTAAAAAGGTACATTAAGTTCCATGAACTTATAGTTTTCAGCATTATCTAGTCTAAAAATGACCAAAAACAAAATAGGATCTTGTTGTGCACTTTTGCGTACATCCATTTTAAAGTGTCTATATATATATATATATATATATATATATATATATATATATATATATATATATATATATATATCAGACGTTATGGATTACTACAACAGTCAAAACAATAACAGTATGTAAAGTACAAGCAGCTACACAATATAATTACAATACTGTTTGTAGTTAATAAATGTCAGCATACCCATAAATACGGCAACTTGGATAGGTTTCTGTGAAATGAAGTATGAGCTGATTTAGTTTAAGGTCATATTATATTAATAACTAGGCCTATGTTGTTTTTATTGTTAATTACTGTACCAATAGATATGTGAAAGCAGTGTTTTATTTGGAGGCTCTATTTTATAGGCCACTATTTTATTTTCTGTTTTTACTTAGATAATACAAAGAGTTCAGATGCAAAAGCCTTTAAGTGCCATTTGAAATTTTCTTCTAAAATGATCATTTTTATCAAGCTTGTATATTTAAGTTCAGTAATTTCACTTAAATGGCAATGAAGATTACCTATTAATTGTCATTTAAGTGAAATTACTGAACTTAAATATACAAGCTTGATAAAAATGGTCATTTTAGAAGAAAATTTCAAATGGCATTTAGTGACTTTTGCATCTGAACTCTTCATACAGAGATCGAGATCATATTTTATAGATTTACTGAAAAAATTCAAATAAATCATATATATATATATATATATATATATATATATTTAATGTATATAAATAAATTATATATATATATATAATGTATATATATATATATATATATAATTAAATTTTTCCTTATATTAATATTTTATATATGTAAAAAATATAAATTACAATTTCTAATATCTAAATTTTTTATAATTTATAAAAATTTTGTAAATGTGTAAGTGGATGGGAAAATTTACAACCTAAGCATAAAAGCAAACCTAAAAAAAAAAAAAAAACTAAAGTAATGACAATTAAAATGTTAGGTTAAGTTTAACTACATGTATGACAATATTTGTTTGTGTATTTACAAACAAAACAACAACCTGCTAGCTAATCAAGTAATATATCTTATGCTATAGAGTGTCTTTTGTCCATGACATGCAAAGCTTTCTGCATTGAGTTGTCAGTGGTGAATCTTAACAGTTGCTCCTCATTTATAACTAAAAGCGGTGAGTGTGGTGGCTGGACAGATTTTTCTTTTCCAGATTCCTGCTTTGTTCCTTGTGTGCCATGATGTCTGTAGTTTTAGTATAGGCTCCATTTTATGATTTAGTTTGACCTTTTAGCTGATGGATTTTGAGAGGTTTTTTTATGAATATGTGGCTTCCTTCACCTTATCTTTATAAAGGTATTCAATAGTGTTTTCCCATCTGTTCTAGATAGTATCCATGGATATTTTGTCACAAAATTTAAACCTTTTCAGATGGAGTTTTATAGACACTACGCTACATATATCTAGCTATGTCATATTTTTTAGATCGGTGGGCAAAATGGAAACAGACGGCTTCCGTGATCCAGTCTTTGGTTTTAATAATAGTAGGTAGATTATAAATCACTGTGGTGGAACTCAGTGCATTATACTGCCAGACTGAATGTTGACACAAAAGCCACTTTACCTTCAAGAAAAGCCTATGTGGGAGGATTTGACCTGTCGTAGTAAAACTCATTGGTTTAATCTGGTCTTCAAGTGTACAGTACAGTTACTCAAGCATCAAGACTCCCGTCTTTAAAAAACCCTTCATAGATGTTGAAGGAATGCCCATTCAACCACATGTTCTAACTTTGTAAAACTGACGTATAGCTCTCGTGAACCATCCATTTTTTTTTATTTTTTTTTTGTTGGAAGGACTTTATAAATCTCTGTGTTGCTTGTGTATATTATATCACAGGCTGTAAACTTCTCTCTGCGCTTTCTGTAGAGTTATAAATCTTTATATCTGAGGTGTCAAACACAAGAAGTTACTGTGCATTTCATCTTTTATTATTAAATGCTGAATGTTGGCTGGATTAAAAAACTTGGCTTCTTGTTTAATAAACAGAATGTGAGGAGAAATATATGGCCTACCAGCAGTTGTAACACTTTGATTAATTGTGCTCTATTACCCGATCCTTTGTGCTAGTCATCTGTCAGAGCTGGATGTTTAGGTCTTGGATATAAGCTCGGACAATGATCTGTGTATTTTCACTTGTCTTTAGTGATGGTGTGATACAAGCTCTAAGTCCGTGTCGCTCTGTTTGGGTTTGCGGTAGAGCAGCTGGCAGAGTTTATAGCTGTTCAATTGCATTATCCAGCTTCAGTGACATCAGAGATAAACTGGCATCATTAGAAACTGGCAATAGAAGTGTTTTTGTGACCTGCTTTGTGAGACATTGTTGGAATGTTTTTTTTTTAATCTATGATGTTGTAAAAAATATCCTTCATTATACATATTTTATTCATATATATATAATATCTTGATAAAAATATGAAGTGGCACCAGAGTAATATAGAATATTGTTATAGGCTAGGTGGAAGGTCACTACTTTACTGTATGGCAATGAAAACATTTTATTTATTTTTTAAATTAAACATTTTCAATTACATTTATCCATTGGAAAAATTATGTCTCGTTCATTTATTTATCATTTTCATGGTGTTTACATGGCAAGCTCTAAACTTTAAAAAAAATCTCGTCTATCTAAAATGGATGCCTACATGTGGCAAAAATATCATATTTATTTTTGTCAGTACTTGGTTATCTTGATCTTTATATAGCTTTTGGCTGCATATTGCGTTATGGATACATTAAGATAAGTCTTACCCACCTTTCTCTTCATCTTTTTGGTCAAATGGCCTGAAAAAATGCTAATGGTGGTATTATAAATCACAGGCCAAAAGGTCTGCAATGAATTTAATAGGAAATGAGCTGCCACGATTATCTAAGAGATCAGACGTCTGCCAACACTTATCAAATAATTACTTTCCCTTGCCTGCCCTATGTAATGTGCCAGGATATGCTACATTTCACATTTTAGAGGGCATGATGAAACATGGCTTTTTAATTTTAGCTGTAAATGTGTCGGAAAGTAAAGCTCTAAAGCCTGTTTACGTTGTATTAAGGACTCAACTAACCCTCAATGCATAAAGACTGGCAAATTTCTTGCCGCCCACAGTTGGGCCTTTGTACCTGCCACACTCCCAGTGAGCTCATAAATACCTAACCTTTACTGCCTGTTCAGTCGGAGATTGATATTTGCTTTAAAAATGAAAATATATGTGCAAAGTATCAGTCATCTGGGAGATTTCTCTCTTTTCCTTCGCACAGTGCTGGTCTTGACAGCGTCAGGTTTCTATCTCTGAGGAGAGCTTTGTACATTCATAATTCGGTCTCTCTGTCAGTCTTGGAACACTTTTTTTCTCGCCTAAATAATGTGGCCTAGTAGTCAAAATCTGGCTCTGAAATTGCATTAGTCACTTGAGTGATGGAAGTGGATGTGTTACTAAGGTTAGCTAATTTTGAAAAAAACATATTTTAGGTGTTGGAAATGCTGCTTAAACTCATGCACCTCTCATTGCTTTTTTTTTTTGGCATTGGCTTCACCAAATGGGGTTTCAGTCTAATCATGCTTTTATTGGATTTATGCTTGTTTTTTAGTGGCTGGTCCTTAGCTGCACTGTACCTAGAGATCTGAAATGGTCACTGAGATCCAAATGGCAGTTTTCACATAGTGTGATGGACAGCTCAGCCCTGGCAAGAGTTCTGATGTTCTCCCATGCTGTTTTAAGTGCAACAAAAAAAGCGTAAAGGAATTAAATTGACACTTTGGGCCTTCTCTTGCCTCAACCTCACATCACAATGACACATTTCTTATATATTACATGTTTGATTAAACGTCTTAATCTAAATCTGACTGGGTTTCTTAAAGTCAACGGTATTGTATTTTTAATATGTGTTGTTGCAGTTGGTCTTAAAATCCAGCGCAGCCTCACCCCAAAAAGTCATAT